CCCCCACAAGCTCCTCTGTCCCGAGTCCCCACCCTGTACCTCCGGTCCCCGTGGACTTTCTGGGGATGGGGAGGGGGGAGGGCTTAGGAGCCCCCCCACCGTGGCCTTGGACGCGAAGCAGAAATAACACCATAACCACGTGGGTGGACACGCGCTCATCACCGTGATTGTTCTTGGCCCTCTGTGCTTTGAAGTCCTGAAAAGAGAGGAGCACCTCGTCCCTGCCCTGCAGGAGGCTGTCCCTGGGAATCCCTGCCCTCCCAAGATGAGCCTGTTGTGCCTGTCCCTGTAGGGCAGACCCTGTCCACTGCCCTCGGCCATGAAGATAAGGCAGGCCGAGCTGGGGGGAGGGGCGGGGCTGCAGCTGCCTGTGGCTAGTGCTACTAGAAGGTCCCAGTCCACCCAGGCTACCTAGGTCTCAGGCTCGGAATGGCCACGCTCAGCTTCCTCAGTGACCACGGGATCCAGCAGGGCGGCCCCTGGCTGTGAAGACGGCAGGGAGCTTGCTCACCTCGCCAGGAGGGCTGCTCCGGCCACAGGAGACATTGACTCCCGAATTAGGGAAAAGACCCCCAAGAGGGGGGACCTGGGGGACCAGGCTGGTCCTGAGAGCATGGTGGTCACCAGGGGTCACAGGGAAGGTTCCACTGGACATGGGTGTCATGGCCACCTCTAAAATTCTCCCCCTCAGTCCAGATGGCGCGCCCGACTCTCAGTGTGACCAGAGATGGAAGCAGCTTCAGCCTGTGCTGGGGAGCGGAGCACAGTGACAAGATACAGCCAGTCTTCGAGGTCCAGTACCGCAGGGACGCAGAGGACTGGGGGGTGAGCCTGCGCCCGGGGAGGGCTTCATGGGGCGGCAGCAGAGGGAGAGAGAGCACCCCAAGGAGCCCAGCAGGCACCGGGGCCCAGCAGGGGACCAGGCGGAGGTCACCACTGGGCTGTGGGGGCCGTGCCCCTGTGTGGTCAGCAGGTGAAGGAGCTGAGGCTCAGAGGTGAGGGGCGAGGTCCCCTGAGACCCCCAGGGCGGGCCGAGACGCTGGGATGGGGGTCCCTGGGAAGTTGCCGCGTCCTGGGCACGTGCTTCGGGGGAGTCCTGCCGGGACCCTGATGTGGAGCAGAGCTGGTCCCGAGGGGCAGGGGGTCCCAGGCCAGGGCACCCGATCCCCACACTCCAGGCAGATTGGGTCCTGTGTGCAGACCCCCACTCCTCTGAGCCCTGAGCAGAGCCACCCCAGAGCTTCAAGCAGGGAGTGGGGAAACCGAGGCCAGGAGGGTGGGGCAGGGAGGAGCCAGGAGAAGGTTCCAGACTCCTGACGCCCACCTCAGGGCTAGACTGGCCACTGCGCTGTGTTCTGGAGCAGCCATGATGACCACCTGCGGGCTGGGCGTCTCCAGGGGTGGGCCAGGAGGTCCCCAGGGCCTGGGCCTGGTGCTCCCCCGGGGCTGAGAGCAGGGTCCCGGCCCTGGTGGACCGCTGTGCTACATGGACGCTGGAGCAGGGTCC